CTAAATAAAGTTAATATGCTTCATGTAGGTCTACATGATGTATGCTTCAGGTGAATTAGTGTGAAAGCCATTTGTTGTCTTTGGTTGAATCTTTGTTCACTCGGAGAGAGGTGCTGTGGGAGTTAAGTGTTTTCTTGCCCAATAATTCAAAACAATGACCCTGATCAGGGTTCAAACAAACACACCAACCATCAGACCACTGACCCTCCTTTAAAAAAAGGAAGCATGACACTAAACTGAGTGGAGGGAGAAGCTCACACCCAAAACCTTCCATTGAAGGGACATGCATAGTATTTATTTAATATTTTCTAGAACAACACATTTTATGAATGGAAAGTAGTCACTTCACTTTTCATGCTAAAAGAAATTTTGATGCACAAAAATAATGCCCTGATCTATCATCTCACTCTCCAGGTTGTCCATCAGATTCAATGTGTCACATTTTGTTCTTACTCATTCTTTTACAAATGTTGCAGCTTTTTGACCAAGGAACAAGTTGTTGAGCTTGTGCTTCCACGTTACTGCCATGTGGGCCATGTAGACATCAGATTCTCACTGAGCCCTATGACTACTCAGCCAACAACAAATGTGTACCTTGTGAAGCCACCTTATCCTGGTTCCTTTAAACCAAATCACAAGGCCTTCACACCTCTTGTAGCTGAACATCTCAAGAAAGGTATTCTGACCTCGGCTCGAGAGCAAAACACTGTTGTGTGTGGCCCTGTGAATTTGAAACTGGGGCTTGATAGCACTGGACGACATGGCCGTGTGACATTGACAAGCCCTGAACTGATCAAGTCCAGCAGTAGAATTTTGCTGATTGTTTTGGACAGCTGTGGTCCCAATGAGGATTTGACAGAGGTGTCAATAACGGTGACAAGGTTTAAAAACAACTTCCCAGCTGACTGCCACAAATTGAGGAGCAGCTTGCTGGAGGACAGCAGCAAACAACTTCTTGACATTGTTGTGGGATCTGAGCCGGTGCTTGGGGCCACAAAAGTTAATGATGGAAGAAAACTGGCACTAGAACTCCTCTGCTGGATTGCCGGCATTTGTGTCAACTGCAATACTGGGTAATTTTATTTTAATGGTACACCTGTACTTGCTAAGTTGATAATCTTTTTTTTTTTTGATAATCATGCAAATAAGTCAGTCATATATGAACTACAGTCAGATCAGACATTCAGAGTTCTGTTAAAAGACTTGACAACAACAATCTTTATGAAAGATTCCACTTAAAACACACAAGCACACGCAGGTCATGAGAGCTAAGGTTTGGTGTTTCTAGTTAGAATTGTGCATTGGCTATACGGTATTAAGTTGGAGCCACAACTGTGGATAAACTGCATAGGAATATGTGCAAAAACATAAAATCATTACACTATAATAACTTCAGAATATGTGTCAACATTGGACACTGGTGAGAAGGAAGAAGCCTTTCAACACTTGCAACCAAGGTTGTAGTCGTAAAACTGGTAGATAAACTGAAAATATCTTCATAAAGTTCTTTAGTGCAACATGAGTCATATATTTAACAATGTCCTCTGCATCACTTTTGTGATTCTATTTGTTAATGTCCCCAATGACTTTCTGAGGGGCAGGATAAAGTGAATGTTGACAGTTTATTCTGACATCTTAACAGGAACAACAGCTTGGTACAGGAGGTGGAGACCCATTTACCCAAGTTGATTCAGATATGTTTTCTGTCTTGTGGACGAAGCATTGCTCACAAGTGTAGCAGACTTTTGATGATGTGTGGCAGGTATAGTCCATGTTTTACAATGCGATTACTGTAGCTGAGTTCACTTTACAAAGATAGTTGTGTCCAGGAGCCAGGCTACTGGATTTTGCAGCTGGGCTAATAGATTCTGTCCTTTGCTTGCCCGATGGGCAAGTGACATTTTTGGGGGGATTTTGGGGGGATTTCCATATTGCAGAAGTACTGTAAGAGATGTGCAAAAGTTATTGTATTAATTTGTATTTAATTGTGAATTATTCAGTCATGTTAGTAGACAATAATTGGGGGTAGTGAGAAGAAACTTCAGGTTAGTACATCATAGTATCACTTCAGGCTTGCAAGGTTAACATAACAGCTGATAACCTTCTTAAATCTCTCCCTTCCTTCCCAGTGCAACTGTAATGGTCCATTCTAAACTCAATGCACAAGGTTCTGAAGTGTGATCTCTG